CACTGAGTTACGCAAGCCCCTTCGCCACGACAAGGCAGTGATCCATGAAGGGGAATGTCATCATTACAGATCCAGAATTCCTGACATAAAGCTCTAATTGATCAGATCCTTTGGAAAAGACAAGTTGTCATCCTTGATTGTGTTGAAAGAAAGTTCAGCAAATGCCACTTGAAAAGTATATTCATGACAGTCCTTTGTAAATAGAAGACTATTTGATATTATAGTGTTAAATAAATTGTAGCACACACATTTGTGATATTAAAAAGGTAAATGTTATTTTGTGTGAATGAATGTGTTTCCTTGTGTTTCTTCTTTTAGACACACCAGCCTGTATTCATCCAGCTGCTACAATCTGCATTTAGAATTTACAATTGCACTTGGCCAAATCCAGCACAGAAGTCTTCAGTGGAGTCTTGCATCAAAACATTAGCTGAAGTGGGTGGGTAATTTTAATTGTCCTTTTTAATTCTTCCTTTCAGTATTGCATAGAATGTTAATTATTTTCATGAAATTAGCTTCCTGGAAATCAGCCTCTAGGAAATGTTGTATTACATCTATGAAAAGTAGAAGATAACAATCTCCACAGGAAAAACCCATAATATACTAGTGTGATTTCTCTGGTATTGCATATCTGTAAGTGATGCTGCCTGGGAATCTCTAGAATAGGAGTTGGCATTTTTTTCCTGAAATTAGGACCATCATGGAGCCTCATAAAATGGCCTGCTTCCAATCTCCTAAATCTTGTGAGCAAATCATACAAGATTTTCAGTCTCATCCTGGGGTCATAGGAGACATTGTTGTTTAAAGTGAGTTCTCACAAGATCTTGTGAACTCTGGTGATCATGCAGGAGTTCGGCAACAAATTCTTGTAATCTTTGGCAGTTGTGCAGCTGTTCAGCCATAAGATCTGGAATCTTTGGCAATCACGTAGGAGTTCAGTCGTTATGTTTATTTTAAATGAATTGGAGGTGGCCACATGCACCATTTCAGGAGCTAGATTGTCTTGGCAGCCATAGGCACTATAAAGCTGAAAGTTGGCTTCTAAATTCTACAGGATAGTTTTGCACAGTGCTACCTTCTTCATATCATTTCAGGCAGAAAGAGGGTAGCACTTGCTCTAGAAATAAATAAACCCGAACTATTTAGTCTTCCAGTATGGCAAAAACATGACTATGGATGCCCATTCTACCTATCAAACTGGCTCTGACTTCCTTGACAACGTAGCAGATCTGAATTTGCAATTGAAACGTTGATCCTCAGCTGGGAAAAAGTGGCCAGAACAAAACTAAATGTACTTTCTTTTAGTTTATATTTCATTACAATTTTGTTTAATGCACTTAGCAAGTCCCCTCCCCAGGTTTTTGATATTCTCACTCTATCACATTACACTATATGTTCCTGAGTTTGTTCTTTTTATGAATTCTAGCTCTGCTCCTTTATCATAAGATGTCTTGTGTGTTTTAATACATCCTGGAGAAAATCTATCTATGGGGTTCCTAAGAGTCAATATCAACTTGATGGCATGTAATCATCAAGTTTTAGTGCAGTCATATGAAGGTTGGGATGAACATTGTTCAGACTCAGCTCTGACCGGAGCAGCTTATAACCCCAGTACAATAAAATAAAAAATAAAATAAAACATCCACCCATGAGCATTATAATATAGTATAACAGATGCTCATTCAGCCAAAGTATCCTATGCATATTTTTTTTCAGTGTATGCTTGAAGCAAGGGGTAATATGATATATCCCAGGGATACATACATGTTCATGTACACTGTCAAAAGAGTTAAGTTGGTGACCATGGCTGCATGATCCAAGCCCTGATTTAAAAAAAAAAAATCATATAAAATAGGAACGGGGCTTTGATTCTATGATCATGTTTGCCATCTTGACTTTTTTGACTCCCCCAGAAGCCCCAGACTTTGTGATTTTTAAGTGCAGGTGTGGCTCTTTAATCTTTTCCTGCTATTTGCTGCAGTGAAGAAATGCTGTTCTCCTAATAGATGACTTGTTTTAGAAGTATGGCACCTTATTCATTATAACATCATGATTTCAGATTAGAACCTGCTGAGTTTTATACCGGTAGACATGTACTTAATGGCCCGGTATTCAGCAGAACTTTCTATCCAGGTGTTTTCATTGTGATGCTTTATTTGGTACCTGCTCTTTGCTTTAAAGCCCCTTGCTTTAAAAGCTCTAATGATTATAATTTTCTGCATGACTTTACATACATTCTGTATCATCAGCAAATGAAATTGGGTGTGCAATACGCTGAAAGGAGATGGGAGCAAGAAAGAAGTGTCATTTCTGTCAATCTGTAGGTGTGCGTATTTATTCCTTTCCTTATTTAACAGCAGCTTTGAAGGACAACTTTTGATTTTTATTATTATTTTTTTTTGTTTTTAGCCTTCTCCTGCTTTGGATCATTTCTTTTTCTTGTCCCACGTAGTGGTTTTACTGTTCGGTCTCCATGTTTCATATTGTGTGCTTTTGTTTTTTGTTTTAAAAACAGTTTTTGCTTATTTTCTGCAAGGGGGCACGAGACAAACTTGGAAAAAATGGTTTAGAAGATGACACACTTCTCTAAGGACTGTGGGATTGATTGACTAGGTGCCATCAAGTTGTTTTGGACTCCTAGTGACTGCATAGATCAGTGTTTTGTCCACATATTTACCAAACTCTATTTAAAAAGCGGGGGACTAAGGGATCTGGTGGGGTGGTGTGAGGGTTGTGGGGGTAATCTTT